TGCTAAAAATGGCACTTGGGCAGTAAAAAAATAATAATTTTTCTTAAAATTTCCCAAAATTAAAAAAAATAAAATAAATTAGCATGACGGCGTAATCACTTTTCACCACATAAATAAAAAAATTTTAAAAAGTTACAATTTTCTTTAGTAGCCACTCATTAGCTTTAATGACCCTATTTAATCAATCTTAGCAGCCATGGCACAGTGGTAGCACACTTGCCTCAGAAACAAAAGATTGTGGTTCAAACCGCACCTCTGGGCAAGTTTTGCTACATCAGTTAGGAAGGAGAAATGAACTTCCTATTAAATGTTATCCGTGGTGCTCTGTGATAAGACCTTAAGGACTAATTGAGGCACCTAAATTTAATTTCAAAAAATAAATGTTTTTTTGGGCCAGGCTAGTGATTACTATACGTTATTTCTATTATGTTGGTGAGTTGATTCTCATAAAAAATGTTGTTTGTGATAGCACAAATGAAAAATTTGCAACAGGAGGAAATAATCTTCCTGTAAAAGTGTACAAAAAAGTCACCTGTATGGTAGATAAAATAGGATGGGTATTTATTAACTTATTCCGTATTCCAGGATGTTTCAAGGAATTTGGATTAATTAATAGATATAAAGAATATATTTATCTTTTCTCAAGAAAATATATTTCAGGGCTCGAATTAAGTGATAGCGAATTGCGATATCTGGAAATGCTTCCGGTCTTTAAAATCTTAGCTTTTTAAAAACCGTTTGTTTTGATCACTAAACTCAATAGATATCATTAAATAAAAAATATTTACGTTGATTATTATATAAAATCTTAATGTAAAACCATATTATCACTATTATTTTTATTATTATTCAAGATTATAATTTAAACTTTAATATTCTTCTTTATTTTATTAAACATCAGATAAAACTAGAAAAATAAAGCACGATAAAGTACAATATAAATATTAAAAAACAAGCGCTAATCACAACAATCTAAAAAACTTTAACAGTGATTGAATATTTTAAATAAAAAAAATTGGTAAATAAGATATAAAATACTTTTATATCTTGTTTAAATCTCATTCAATATTTTCTTATAAATTTAATGCTTGTAACACTTAGGCTGATACGAATATAAAATTAAAAGACGGAGGAGTTAATATATAAAAACTAATTTAAACTTTTTAATAGTTACTTTAAAACAAAACAAAAAAAAAGAAATTCTAATAACATTTAAAAAATTATGTTTTTTTTCTTATTAAATAATTAAATTCTAATTTAAAACATTTAAATTTTTAAATAAATAATTCCATAAACTTTCCCCCCTAAATAAAAATCTTTTTTAATGTTTTATATAATGCGCAAGTAGCTTTAGCATACTTTTTAATTGGTTTTTTTTTATACATAGTTTCATACAATGCGCAAATAGCTTAAGCATAGTTTTTCATTGGTTGATTTTTAAATTACCGCAAAAATTCTTTCGGACATTTAGTAATAATAATTTTTGTCTTGCAACTTTTTTTTATTTATAATCCTTAATTACATATTATTAATTATTGCTTAAAAAAACAATAACTAATAATATGTAAATTTTGACTGTTATTATTTTAGTAGTAAATTTATTGTTTTTCTTTTTCATTAATTTTTGCAATATGATAAACTCATTAAAACAGTTTTTACGGTTTCATTAAAACAGTATTTACGGTTTTTAATAAAACTAAGAATTTAATGACCACAGATATTTCCGGATATTGCAATTGGCGATCACTTAATTCGAGCCCTGTATTTATTTATAAAAAAAGTATGAAAGTGAAAAATAACTAAATAATTAGTTGATGTTAACAATACTGACAGTAACATTAAACAATTTTTTTTTGCTTGCATTTCAGTAAATCCATAATAAAATTTCAGTAAATCCATAATCAAATTCAGTATAAAGTAAGAAGTAGGACAGAAAATAGAAAACAAAATGATTATAGTAGACATAATGTAAACAAAGTGATTATAGTAGGCACAGGGCTCGAATTAACGCAGAAAAATCTAATCGCGAAAAAAAAAAATTTCACCCCTTCCCCCTATACCTTGCGCTTCTTTGCGGTAATGGGGGGCGCTAGTATTTAATTGTAACTTTTGTACGTAATTGTTCTACTTTTAATATATTATCTCTAGCAGAGTTTAAAATAGCGTAAGTTACTGTTACTATTTAAAACTTAAGTTATAACTTAAAGTTTAAGCTGCAGTTGTAATAAGCAATAACGTTTTTAATACTATTAAGATATTTCTTCAAGTATATATTTTACTTAAAATGATACTTAAAAAAGTAAAAGTAAAAAAGTAAGGAAAAAGTAACATAGCAATATCTAAAAATTAGGCAAAGAAAACTATTTAATACGTTCGTGCTGACGTTAAAACACATGTTAATTTTAAAAAGTATTTAATTGTTAACAGCTATAAAACAAATTAAATCAGTTGTTTTAAAAATATAAAGAGATTGGCTTAATGTAAAACAAGTTCATGGCGCTGTTTTGTGTTCATTTATACAATTTATAAAATAAAACGCGTTTAAAATAAAAGGAAGCAAATAAATAAAATTGAACAAGTTAATAAACTAAAACAAAACTTCATATTTGCGCCTATAGACCTTCACGAGTTTTTAATATATGAACCAAACGAGTAAGATCAAAGCATAAAAACATTAGATACCACGTCTTTTATAAATTATCGTTTCCTTATCCAAGCGTACGATTAAAAATTTAAGTATATTAAGTTTTTCATTCAAATGGTTTTTAAACTGATGTTTTTATTCAATTTTTTTTTATTCTAATTGTTTTCTAAAAAAATGTGAAACAAAAAACTTTGTTTAATAAATCGAATTATATTAATATATTAAGTATAAGAGTATGCTTAAATTATTTTTTTAGAAAATTTTCTTTTTTCGAACAGAAGTAAAATAATTTATTTAAATTTTTTATAATTTTTATTTTAACTTGCAATTTGTAATCACTGCTTTGATCTTTGCAATAGAATAGTTTATACTTTTAAAACTATTTTCAAGAAAAAATATATAATTCAAAACATTAAAAAATTTTACGATTTAAGAAAAAAAAACTTTCTTCTTTTCTCCCTTGTTTCATTATACTTTTTTTAAATTTTTTTTTATATTTTGAATTTCAATTACAAAATTATTTGAATAAGTGAATTTTAAGGCTAAAGTTCTCTTGTTAAATTGATTTTTTTTTTATATAAAATTCCTGAAAATAATTGCGTATTTATAGAAAATGTTTAGTATAGATGTAACTATAAATAAAATGAAAATTAAAAAAATGGTGTCGCGTTTTTCATATTCTATTCGACAATTTTTGTTAAAATAATTATTAAATTGAAACACGTCTATGGCTAACTTTTGAGAGTATATTAAATAAATTAATATAACTTTTAAATTAATACTTGAATAACTGTAAGTTACTATCTTAACTTAACTGGTTGTTTTGATTTAGGTTATAAGTTAATTTACTGTGATACACAGTTAAAAATATTAACCATTTTTGATTATATATACTCGCACAAGTCGCTGCAGCGCGCTGCAATACTGGGCAGTTTTGTTATGAAATTTAATAGGCGTTACCATGTTTTTAAGTTTAAGTCGTTCAACCACGTATGTAAACAAAAATGGTTAATATTTTTAACAGTGTATACTCTATCCATTCAGTAAAGTTAACTAAATATAACTTTAATAGTTTCAAGGTCGTTAAAGCGAAAAACGTGAAAGCAAAAAAGTTGCTGGTTTCTTTTAACACAATTTTACTAATAGAAATTTTATTTAATAAAAACGAATTAATATATATATTTTATTATACTTAAAGTAGTAAAAATAATTATATAAAATTGTTTATAAAATAATAATTTAAATCATTATTATTAAGTTAATTTGGAGCAACGTTTCTTTTAAAAAAAGATAAAAATGCTGTTTCGTTAAAAAAATAGAATAAAGAAAAAATGATTTTAACTTTTGTCTTTTTAATTTGCTTCTACGCTGAGATTTAAGTAGTTTAAATTAAAAAGTGCTTTACGTTGAATAAAAATCTCCGCGCGAAAGAGCAAATGATCATGTTCTATTCAAAAGCAAATGATCATGCTTCTATTCAAAAGACAAACTTTGCGTGATGTACTTTACTATGAAAACATTACTTTTAAGAATTGCCAAAAAAAAAAAAAAAAAACTAAATTTGAAAAATAGTAAATAAACAACTTAAAAAGTAAATCAATCGCAAAAATATATGTTTTAAGAAAAAACTAATCGCAAAGGTGTAAAAAGCAATCACGATTCGCGATCGCAATACAAGAACACTTTTTCACCTTTATAACTAAATTTTATTATAGCCTATGACTTCAAGCTCATCATCATTGCCTTCAGATCATCTATAAGTAACTTTTTTTATTTTATTTTGACTTAAGATTAGTGTAAATTTTAAATGAGTAATGTGCAAGATTTTTATTTAAACATAGGTTTACAATAGAAATTACTCAAGTTGATACTGTGATAGGCTATTGGATGAAAAAAGAGTTCCAATGACTTTTGGATCACTAGCAGATAAATTACTTCAAGGTTTTGAAAACTTTAAACAAAATTTTCCCAAGGTGTTAGCCAGGAATATACTTTAAACCGATTTCATGATACTTAGAGTATTTATTGTTATTGTTCTACAAAACATTGGGAATTTTTATTGATATTGTCTTATAACTAGCAAAAAAAAAAAGGAAAATTTAAATATAGGAATTTGATACCAATTGGTAATTTTGAGGTATACGCGGTACCATTGGGCTGGCTAACACCTTGCCTTCCCAATCATTTGCTTGCCACCTACTACCACCATCACATTCAGTTCAAATGTGATGGTGGTGTAGTGGTAGAATTCTTGCTTTATAAATGAGAAAGACCAAGTCACCCTCACATTGTTTTATTATCACCTTGTATTATTATTTTTAAAAAATAAAAAAATTCCTAAAATTAAATATTTTACCTGTGTGCCCAACTAGCGTCCTGATTAGATCTCCAGTGATTGCTGACCAAACTTTTAGTGTATTATCATCAGAAGCACTAACAATTCGAATTCCGTCAAATTGTAGACATGTAACCACATGGTCATCATGTCCTTTTAAGTACTTGGGAGCTCTTAGACTTTGATACCTCCAATTGGATTCAAGCTTGTGAGAATATAAGAAATGTTGTTTGTAGTTTGATGTTTGACTTGATAAATCATCCAATGAGCAAAGCATCTCATACTCACTACATTTTTCTTTCCATAAC